TTCTATGGGGGTATTGGTGTAGGGGGCTTAGGGTGGAGTTTTACTATGGGGATATGGGTTTTACTCCTTCATGTGGCCATTGGGGTTGGGATTTTTAGGGAAGTTGGGTTTGAGGTATAGGTGGTTGTGATTTGTTGAAAAGGGGTAGTTGCATGATTAGAAAATGGAAATGGTCATCTCTGACTTATAGTAGGTACCTGGGGGTTTGGGTTGCTTCATTCATCGTCGGAAAATGGAGCGCCTTCGCTGGCAACCACTTGCTGGGAGAGCTGCGCTGCTCGCCGTTTGCCACGCTCCATGGCTGCACAGATCTGAAGGAGGATTTGAAGTCTGGCTGGGTAGTGGTTAGTGGTCTGGATCGAATGGGAGGTACGTGCTGCTGCGGTGCTACGCTTGAGATACGGACTGCAAGCCGCGAGAATGGAGAGAGAAGCAAACAAAACCGGAATCCAGCCAATGCAATCCGTCCTACTGAACAGGGCCGCTAGCTTCCGGAAATGCGAAACTTTGAGGTCTGCCGCGGCCCTAAATTAAAGTATAGATCCCTGAACAACGAATCCATTTCACGAAGGCCTTCGTTATATGTCGACTCGCAAAAATTGAAACAAAAATCTATGTCGGCAGCACCCGAACACCAAGATGAGCCCGCAGATGCTTGCAGATTTTTTGTCGGCTTTTGCTGCTGCCTCTTCTTCGTGCGTCTGGATATGTGGAACGCTAGCCGCTAAGCTTGTCAAGTGCCGGCTGATGCTCGGAGTTCCAAGTCTCCCTCTGGTGTTCCTTCTTTGAAACCGAAGCAAGAGCTGTCGGACCACTTCGGAAAGAGAGCTATATTATATACCTTCAACGTGGCTCTTTCAACCGTGCTGCCTATGCCGCTCGCCGTCCCGACGCCACCTTGTCGCTGTGCTAGCCCCAACTATGTGCTCTTTGCTTGTGGCAATGTCAAAAACTAAGATCTTGAAGGTCTCAAGGCCCGAACAACCTCCAGCGGCAGATCGCAAGCGCCGATTCGTGCATTCTGCATTCCACGCAAAGACGCCCCCTGCAGCCCAGCAAAGCGAGCTTCGAAGACATTCAGGGCTTCACTCCGCATGCAATCTGCCAATGTTGGTCCACAGCTCTGGGATTAGGACTGCGCCTTCCTTGGTGCTTCTTGCACATGAGGGCAAGGTAGGCCCCAGTAGCTGAGGAGTGAGAAACGACGAATGTAACAAGGTTCCCTCTCAACAGTACTCCTTGCCAGATACAGGCCGCGTCAGAGCAATTGAATTTGGCCGAGCACAAACGGGAGCTCAAATGCCCTGAACCCGTTTATTGTATGTCTGCCGTCTGCAGTCACCTAGACTGGCAACTTTGCTTGTCCCGGGACTGTGCAAGTAAACCTGGAAGGCACAGCAGCAGCAACAGCAGCAGCGGCAGCAAGCAGTCATGACGTGGAATGTTGACCTGCTACCGGCTACTTCACGGTTTAAAAAAATCTTCGATGCTGCTGCAATCACAGAAGGTTATCACCAGTGTTCCAGCAACTTGCCATGTAATGATCGCGGGGTGCTGCCATTCTAAACCGGCAGGGCATGTGCCGGAAGCCGGATGATTTGTGCAAGGCTCCTGCATGCAGCGTGCAGACCATAGGTTGCGCACAGAAACTTCAGCCCATCAGCGGGCCACCCACATGACTCTGACGAAAGCAGGCCAAGAGGCCTTCGTCTTCGCCGAATGTTCGATGAAGGACGCTATGTCAGCACCAGGAATTACGTAGCAAACTCGACTTGCGGCCTCTGTCCCGGTTTCAACCACGAGAGTGCATGTCCGGATGGCTCCGGGGGCTCAGAGGGTTCAGAGAGCTGCAATTGCAGCTCACCGCGTTCGACCTTGGCAAAATCGTAGAGAGCCGCATAAATCCTAATGGTTGATGACACATGCATTGTCGAAGCAATTGTCCTCGTAGCACGATACCAAGTTGGAAATCAGCGCAAACACTGCAGTAATGGATAAGCACATCCCCTGCAACTCAGTAGATGCCCCGCACTTGCAATCTCAGCCGAAAAATGTAGTAGACTCTGAAGTCCATGCCTTGTTTAGTTTTGGCCCAACAACAATTTTCCTTTTTTAAGAAAAGGTGGAGAATCTCTCCATTCGCAAGGCCTGCAGGCGTTCGTCGCAAGTCTGGGTACGGCACGCTTGTCCATACCATGCCGTTCCAGATCCTGCTCTGAGAGGCAAACGGGGCGTGTGGAGTATGCGCTTCTACCATACACCGCTGCCTTTGCCGCCTTGAACTAAAGCATTGTCAGCGAACCCTGCAATCTGAAGCTCCAACACACACTTTATCAACACACCAGACCACGTAGCGGCATGGCCATGTCCTGCGGTGTCAGCCCCTTCAGCACGAGCTGGATCTGCAGGGTGGGTTCCCAAGTGAAGCTTGGATTGGAGGTGTGCTGCCGCAAGGCTGGTTTCTGCTGTAAATGTTGGGATGACGGCTGGTACACCCGTAGGATTACTACCGATTTCTATACCAGTACCGTTGGTGCTGCTGCTACCATGCTGTGCTTTGCGAACTCAAAGGCAAGGCCATTGCCTCCGATACCATCGGAAGGCCCATGCAAACCTTGAGCCTAAGCCCGCAATTTACCCAGCCCATCACTGAGAAGCCCTGGGTCAAACACTTTCAGGCCTCATGGACGTGGATCCGTTGTAGGGGGTTGAACTCGAAGCATTTGCGCAGCATGGGCTGCGCATTGGGTGTGAACCTGCGCGGGGCGTAAAGAAGTGCCGCGTGGCTGGTGTGAAGGTCTCTGAGCTTTGAGGGCGTGCCAAACTCTCGCCTTGTGGGTGCTCGCCCAAGTCGCCTCTTCTACTAAACTCCTTTTATTCACAGTTGTAGCAGTTGCTAGCAACTGCTTCTCGGCTACTGTACCAACGGACGATTGCAACCAAAGCATTGCTTCTACCCTTCTGTCGTTCTTGCTTCTGTGATGAATGCTGTTGCCATGACCTTTGGTGCTGCCATGCCTACCATATCCTCCTGTGTGGCTCTTATGATTACTCAACCACGCCGATAAGTCTTACCAGTGTCATGATTATATCGTTTCTAGCTATCTAGCTACATGCCCCCTTGTCAAAACGCGCGAGTCCGGAGGCCCAGAACACACGTCCCGGCCCCACACGAGGACCGTGCAGACAGCTCTGGAAGCAGGGCTTATATAATATATAGGACTTGATGGGCTTCTCGAGCGCACCAACCCAAAGTTCATGCTGTCTGCACAGATGTATCAACAAGATCAATTCCTTTGATAAACATAACCAGTTGATGCTGCAGGTTGCTGCTAGTTTTTCCGGGTGAGTGTGGACCAAATACTTGGCAGCGACACGAACGGAACGCGCGCACACACACACACACACATGCACATGCACAGGCACGCACACATTCCACAGACACACTAGCAGGAGCCGGGGCATAGCTTGCTTCCGAAAGCCAGCACAGTTTGCTCATCATGACAACTTGGGGCAG